AAAAGAAAAGAAAAGAAAGCCCATCCATGTTGTAAACTTACACGTGTGGGATAAGAGAATGGACAAAACCCATTCTTGTTCTCTCGGGATACCGCATGGGCCTGGAGTGCCCTTGGTGACAGCCAGCCGGGATGGGCCTATCAGTGGCCTGGGCCTTGCCCAAGCCTCCTTCTGCTGGGCAGCACTTCTGGACCTTTCTGAAGGTCTAGGCAGGCCTGAGAAGGAAGGTGCCTGTGCACCTACCTGGACTCTAGAGGAATCCAGAAAGCACATGGCAACCTCTTGCAGCAATGAGGGTCGGCCACCCTTCCGGCTTGTATTCCATGCCCATGTCATTGCTCATGCGAGTCCCCAAGGATACCTACAAAGCTAGCAGGAGGCAGAGGTGTGTCTCCACTCGGCCAGCACCCGCTCCAGCCCCTCCCCCCTTTCCCATCGCAGCTCCACTCCTGCCCTTCCCTCCTTCCGAAACAAGCGACACAGCTGACTCGTGCCTTGAGGAAGGCCATTTATTTCCAAGATAGAGACTATACTTTTAAGACAGGACTTTTCAGAAGCAGGAAATCTTAGTTGTCGCCTAGAGAGGTGTGTCAAGGACACAGTGAAAGGAGACATGCGCACGTGGGGCCAGAGGCTTATCCAACACTGTTACAACACTTTTTTAAATGAGCAAAACATCTTTAAAAATCCTTATAAATTCTTTATAATATGTTACACATTTAGAGACAATATTTACAATAAAAGGATCAGGGAGGGAAGAGAGAGAAATCTACTTTACAGCAAATCTTTGCATAAAACAAGAGGACCGACAGACGTGGCAGTGGGGTTCACAACCCCACCCGGGCTTCCCTGGAATAAGTGAGGGCATGTGTGGGGAGGCCTGGTGGTCTGAGGTCTATTTACAAAGTGTGGGGAGAAGAGGGGGCTGGGTCCCGCCCATCCTGAAGGAACAGCCCAGCTCAGACCCCATAAATCAGTGTGTGTGTGTGTGTATGTGCCTGTGTGTGTGTGTGTGTGTGTGTGTGTGTGTGTGGTGTGAGAGAGAGGAGGGAGGGAGAGAGAAAGAGAGAGAGTGAGACACCAGGGTTGTTTCCTACGCCCCCTCCTAAAGGAAGAAGGTGGGGTCTGTGTGCCTGGGTTGTGGAAGAAGCAGGCATAGCTAGAAGGAAAAGACAGGCAAGGGAGGTCTGGGGAAGTGGTGGCGGGGGGAGGGGGACCCTGGACCCTCCCCGAAGTCTCTGGGGAACCGGCAGCTAGCTCCCCATGGTCAACACGCTTAGTGAGGATTGTTTAGGGGTTGGCAAAAAGTTGGTGAGGGGAGTAACCCTGGTAAGAGTCTCAGTCCTGCCTCTGTGGAGCGGCCCTAACTTCCTTCCCTGGCTCCGACAAGCAGCAGAGGCAGGATCCCTGGAGGCAGCAAGGGCAGGGCGCCCTGGTGTGCGTGGTGCAGCAGGAGTGGCAGCAGTTGCTACGGAAACACCTTCGGACAGTGACTCGTGCACTGGCCCACAGGCCCCTCTCCCCTGGGGACACCACCCAGCTCCATCTCTTCTCCCCTGGCATACAGTCACCCCCTTCCCCTCAGCGAGGAGCTGGGAGCTAACGGACAGGGGCGGAGGGAAGAAGCCAAGCGCCAGCATCACCCTGTGTCTTTCCTTTGGTCTGAGACTTGGGGGTTCCCTATCCACACCCCATGGCCAACAGGGGTCTCTAAGTGCAGACACAGAAGGACCCACTCTGCCACACAGCCCCCAGCAGCCTGTCCCCTCTCGTCTCCGCCCCCTACCCCTTACCTCCGGGGTCCCCTCCCTCCCACTGCTCGTCCAGCCGGGCCTTCTCGCCTGCCCACCTACTACCCACCCCCGCACACAAACGAGGGAGGCGCGGCCTGCAGCGCCGGACGCACCGCGGGGCGAGAGGAGGGGGGTGCGAGCCAGAGAAGACTGGGGCAGGGCGGCCGGTCACAGACACTGGTGGAGGCGGGAGGCGGCCGAGCGGCGCGGGGGCTGGCTCTGCAGGGGCCCCGGGTCGCCGGGCGGCAGCGAGGCCGCGGACGACGGGGCCCGCGCCTTGGTGGACTCCAGGCTGCTGAGGCCCGAGTCCTTGTTGTCGCTGTGCGCCCGAGGGCCCGCGGGCTCCGGGGGGCCGCCGCCGCCCAGC